ATATACAAATATATTAAAAGACTGTAACGAATGTTGATCTCTTACGAGATTTGTATTAAGGAAAAGTAGATCTCAGAGGAGTTTTGTAGCCGATGTGACATCCAGTAACGATTGGAATATCTAAATGTCACAGTGATTGTATCGTAGACGTAGGCAGGCTTCTTGAACTTTCGTCTGTGATTTTTTTCATGAGAAATTAATGATTCACGGTGATGATTAAATATAAATTCTGTTGAACGGCATCAATTATATTCCAGATTATATTGATCAAAAATTTATATATTCCGATATAGGATCTAATGGACCAGATTTATATGATCTTAGCGGGACTTTCCTTCTCTCTCTCTCTCTCTCTCTCTCTCTCTCTCTCTCTCTCTCTCTCTCTCTATACTTTGATTATACCTCTTAATATCTCTATAGATACGCATTAATCGACGCAGAGACCAATGTCGTTTCGGTTAACGCACGACATGACGTCATTTTTGCGTCATGTCGTTAAAATGCTCGCTATTATACATTTCCTCGCAGTTTTCTTTCCTTGAAACGATCTCCAGCGTAAGCACACGCCTTTCCCGCATTTCTTTTTCTCTGGATATGTGAAAGCTGTTAGCTTTACAACTACAATTCTAATTTCGTGCAAAATACAAATTATCTTACGCTACCTTTCACATTAGCATCGCTTCGCTTACATGCGACTCTAGAATTTTAATCGGAATTGCACCAGACGAAGATTGCATCTACACCCGATACGACGTTGAAGAAAATTCGCCGCAAACGCCGGAATTCCGCGCAGCACCTGATCAAACAACTCGGAACACTCCCCGTTGATTCTCTTGAGGCCGCGATTAAATATCGCGGGAGTTTCGAATCGCTGATCCTCCCTTCGTGGATCCTTCGTGAAATATTGCACTTTGCATACCGCGAAAACACAGCGCAAATATTTTTCCTTACCTCGAGAAAGTTGCGCCGTACATACTGGGAATAATTGAAGAATTAGGGTTCAACGATTGTGGTTCTGCAAAGCCTTACGATATATAACAATTTGATTGTCGATAACTGCGCTTGCCAGGCTATAGTTCTGCGTCGTTTTCAAGTTTATTATGGAATGAAATCAGTGCAATGTCGATGAGTTGAAATTTCGATGCTGTAGATACACGAGGACATACGTGTGTCCATTTGTCGTAGTAGGGAGAAGCTGCAGAAATAAGTAAGGATCGTTTTACGTAGTAGTAGATCTAGAAGTAGACCTTACAAATTGTGTCTATGAATTCTTTACTTGTTTACAATTATCTCTTAGAGCTTGTTTTTATTGTCGCAGATTCAATTCGGACAATTTGCAGGATCCACTTTAGTGTAAATATTGTATTGTACAATATAATAACTTTATAAACGCGTGAACTTGATTTTTATTAAGGAGCCATTTTGCTGAGGTGTATCTAAAAGTTTTGTTAGATACAGATCTGAAAATAATTGGACTACGATAATAATTATGTAGGACACTCGAGCTAAGTTGCTAGAATGTTAAAACTTATTGCTTTTCATACTTGAGTTTCCTGCATTATTATTTTGAAATCTAACAAAATTATTTTCAAATCCGTATCTCGCTAAACTCGTGAGTAAGTATATACATCTCTCGCGCGCTTATCGCAGTAATCGTGCGTACGCCGTTATTCGATGCGGAACAATTTATTATTAGTTGTACGAATATTTTCTTAAGGTACATTTTCCTGTATCTGTGACATCGAAAGACGGACTCACCGAGATTACACTGATTTCAATCCTCGGTCTTTTCGAACGACGACGAGGGAGGGGACCGCCATAATGGCGCAGCTTGGGATGCCATCCTCGTGTCTTCTCATGGTCGCGGTGCGTCTTCATGGTCGCCGCCATCGTCGGCGGTCGCCGTCTTCGTCTTCTTCGTCTTCGTCTTCGTCGTCATATTCGCGATCGTCTTGTTCGTCCGTTAGGTTAGCCGTCATCTCCGTCGTCGTCGTTGCTCTCGTCGAGGTTCGCGCTGTTGGTTGGATATCGTCGGAAGAGAGGTGGGTCGCTCTTATGCGCACACACTCGATCACTCGTGCACACACACATACGCACACACCCGCAATCTCTCCATCTCTTCTTTACGCCGCGTCCCTCCACCCCACCGGGAAAAGGGGCGCGCTACTATAACGGTGGTATTTTGGTTTTGGCTCGGCTCGGCCCGCGCCAGTTCTGGGAGTGGAGTTCTAAAAACAGCAGAGGTAAGTCTTGCCCGCTGCTGCTGCTGAGCAGCTGCCCGTTTGCTTCTTCTTCTTCATCATCATCATCATCATCATCATCATCATCGCCGTCTCGGCACGTCGCGGTCTCGCGGTTCCCCGCTCTCTCGCGGTACCATCGTCGTCGTCCTTCGCGTACCGGGTTGTCGATATCATCCTCCCATCTCGTCATCAGCGATATCGTGATCTTCGCGATTTCCGCGAATGCGGAGTTTTCGGATATCATCAGCGTATTTGCCATCTTCGCGGTTGCTTTCCCGAAGGACGCCTGCTCCCTCTCTCTCTCTCTCTCTCTGTGTGTGTTTCTTTATCCTAAGAAGAAACCGCGACACCGATAGAAAACCAAGCCCGCGGCACTTTTGCGACTACCCGCGGCGATCGTCTCGTCGCGCCTCTTATAATACACACCCGCTCTCTCGCTTCCGATGGCGGTTTACTAATTCAGCTTACTACCCAGAACCCACCCGGTCAACCTTCTTTTAGGCACCACCCTGCCTACGGTACAGGCGCACCTCTTCTTGCCCTGCGCGCATCCCGTGGTATCCATGGATTTATTTCTTCGCGCGCGGGAATTATTTTTGGTGTCTTTTCCCGCGGTTTGTTAATATACACCCGCCGATTCGCTCGCTCCCTCGATCCACCTCTCATTCGTTCATCCACTATCTCTCTCTCTCTCTCTCTCTCTCTCTCGTCCTCGTACACCCGTATTACTCTCCCGTGAAGATTACTCTCTTTCCCTCACAGCTGTTCTCACCGCTAAAACCGTAACGACACGTCGCACGTCTCGCGATCGGTACACGGCTACTCACGCTTTTAGTCGCGTTGCCGCGAGCACTGTGCGCGCTATTCGCCCGTCCGAGATAGGACGGATTTAACACGACATCTCTTTAATCCTTGGTCGAGTTCGACGGGTCCATTGGTCTAGAATAGATGGCAATTCGATTCTTCATATTTCTTCATCTTTGTCTTCGTCTGCTTTTTATTCCCATTATTCATATCACGATGAATCACGTTCGGAGCAGCGAGTGTCGTTCGCATCGGTTAGGTTACTCGAACGTAACGGTCATTCAGTTTGTGATGTCATGGAGTCGTACCTTCCTCACGTAGTTCCGATGCAAGCTCTCGGAATTCTCGTCAAGTGGTACCTGCTCGTTGAGACGAATGTAGAGAGGGCTTTGCCCGTCGTAGACAGATGTAATGTGTGGGCTGTCCCGCGGCTGTGCCAAATCTAATCGCAATTTCTCATCCTTTATTGCAATGTGTCACGATAATTAACGAGTCGAACCTTGCCTTTCAATTCTCTAGGCGAAACTGCCGCCCTTAGAGCTGGAGACTTTTTCATACGTATCTCGCTTCTAATGGCATCTCAGCTTTCATTTCTATCGATATAAACTCTCTATAAATTTAATGTTCGCAGACAAGTAACTGTGTGGTATTATTAAAAATTTAATGTAACGCGCTTGCAAAAATTTTTCCTCCAGATAATTTCCTTTAAATTATTTCTTCTAAAAAAATCGTTTAAAGTAATCTCTGCCTTGTCGGGCTTGAAATATTCGATTGCGGAAAAGATATAAAATTCTGCAGCTTGCGAATTCCTATCAAATTTGCAAATTCTCAAGTCTATATTCACTGCGAATGTGTGCACGTATCTAGTTATCATCGTTTAATCTAATTTACTTCCAAGTAATTTCAACCGGAACAAAGCGTTGTTCGTAATAGGAATTTCTCATATTACTAGCATATAGTCCCTTAATTCAATTTCCGATTTCCAGAGAAAATCGGTGTGCGAGTTTAATTTAACATTTCCTGTATTTTAATATCGCGAATTACATCCAAAATATCGTTCATACGTCGTTTTTTGTACACTGAAAAAAATTACTGAATTTTAATATTTCTTTCAATAGTCCTATATAGCGGAATGTTTACTAAATATAAACGTATATATTAGATACAAGAACCATTAGTTTGATTTAACTATCATTTTTTTCATTTATCTAAATATTTATTTACCGTAAGTAAATATTCCGCTAGAACTATTAAAAAAAAATTTAATAAAGTTTAATAAATTTCTTTCTCAGTGTAGGATCGTTGCGAGCAAATTAAGGAAACTCTGAAAAATCAAAAACATTAAATTGAAACAAATGAATATCAAAGGAAGTTAGGAATTTTGTGAAAAAAATGTTTCTTGTATTTTTCTATAGAGAATACTGGAGAATTACTCATGTTTGCAAAAATCGTAGAAAAAAGAGAGATAAACAATTTTCTAATTTGCCAATTAGATCTTACAAATTTTCCAATATTTTAATATTATGCTATTCGAAGTTGAAACAATTTTTATGTTTACGTAGAAGTATTGTAAATTGAATTTTCAAATTTTGTGTAGCGATTCACGTCTCACATGATTTGTATGTCAAATTATTTCATCTGATGCGAATCATGTTTTTTGTATCGAAAAAATGATGTTAATGATCATCAATTTCTTTGCAGTTGATGATTATTAGCAGTTGTCAGTACTGTCGTAGTTACTTACAAGATAAATAATTTCCCTTAATTTTCTTTTGTCAATTGTTCTCTTCTTCTCTCGAAAGTTACAAATAATACAAATTGAATCATTAATTATCCTTGCGAGAGTGTTTACAAATTAATGGTCGCTGTCCTACTCTCCATTTTCGTGACGACCTCGCCTTGTACCATCATGGATCAGCCGTGGATAGCATCGACGTAAATTCTTACGATAATCGCCACCGTTACCTTGACTGGATTCTACATGAGCCTGGCACT